GTGAGACGATAGATAATCCATACACTAGTTATTGGGCAGGCCAGGTATGAACAGAGCTCACTGTCATGGCGTGTGGCGTGCGTGACAGAGCCTCCCTGTTCGGAAGAGCACTGCCCTCAGTGCGATTGGGTGGGGGAGTGTGTGGGATTTCTACTGTGTGGTGGACGGGAATGTCAGCCTCCGGGATCAGATCTTCTGTACCAGCGTCGTGCCTCGTCTCTAGTCCGGGTTTGAGGCGATTAAAGTGGACTGTGAGGGGAAAAGCGAAGGGGTCAGAGGTAGGTCGGATGCGGTAGGTGTTGTTGGGGAGTGATTGGACGACCACGAAGGGACCTGAGTAGGGTTTGTCTAGTTTCGAGTTGCTGCCGCGGTTCGGGTAGGGTTGGTGAAGCCAGACTTCGTCCCCCGGTTGATAAGGAGCTCCGTTGGCCGTGCGATCGTAAAAGCGTTGTTGGTATTCTTGACTGGAGTTCAGGTGTTGTCGGTCAAGGGTACTGGCGGTGCGGTGAATATCCACAAGTTGAGCAATATATTCGCTGGGGAACCGCTCCGTCGAGTGGCGTTGGGGAAATTGTAGATCAAAGGGAATTTGGAGTTCTCGACCGAACGTCAGGAGAGCAGGGGAGAATCTGGTAGACTGGTGGACTGTGCATCTGTAGACGAGTAGACAATGTGGGATGAGCTGGTCCCAGATATCATTGTTGGCAGTGGAAATGAAGGCACGTAGGAGAGATAGGAGAGATCTGTTAGTCCTTTCTGTTTGACCGTTGCCCATGGGATGATAGGGGGTTGTGCGCGTTTTCACACAGCCCATGACCTCGCAGAGTTCTTTGAAAATCCCACTCTCAAAGTTTGAGCCCTGATCGGAATGGATAGAGTCGGGGATCCCGAAGCGAGAGATCCAGTGGGACATGACTGCGTCGGCAATGGTGCGCGCTTCTTGGTTGGGGAGGGGTGCAGCTTCCACCCATTTAGAAAAGAAGTCGACCATGACCAGGAGATACCTATTCCCCAGACGGGATTGTGGGAATGGGCCCATGATGTCGATACCTAATCTTTGGTTGACATAGCCCGGGAGAATTGGCTGGAGTGGGGCCGTGGGACGGTTATTGGGGTCTTTTAATGGAAGGCATGTAGGACAGGAAGAGCAGACGATGCGCACTTCACGGCGTAAATCTGGGGACCAGAAACGTTGACGTGCTGCCTTATCGAGTTTGCCTTGTCCAGGGTGACCCAGTTGATTGTGGAGCTCTGTGAGGACCGCTCGGGCGGCTGACTGGGGAACCACTAGGCGGATGGGAGAGTGGGGATCATATTGAAAGTATAGGACATTATCGCGTAGGTGAAGGTTACCCCAGAAGGACCACAGGGAATGGGCTCCAAGCGAATGGCCGCTCATTTCTTTAGCAGTGGGTTTGCGTTGGCCATGGAGTTGTCTGTCATAGATCAGGGCCGTGTCTGGGTCCTCAGCTTGTAGTTTTGCCCAATTGGTGGCATTGGAGTGTACAGTAATGGTGTTGTCGACTGTGGGGTGGGGAGACAGCGGAGCGGATGGAAGGCGGGAAAGAGCATCTGCATTACCATGTTCCTTTCCCGAGCGGAATTCCAGTTGGAAGTCAAAGTCGGCTAAAGCCTCTTGCCACCTGGCCAGCTGACCTTCCGGCTCTTTGAAACTCCACAACCAAGTGAGAGCCTGATGGTCAGAGCGAATCACAAACGGCTTCCCTTTCAGGTATACCGCGAACTTTTTTGTGAACGCAACGATGGCCAGGAGTTCCCATCTAGTGGTGCTATAGTTGCGTTCTGCCTTGTCGAGAGCCCTGCTTGCGTATGCTATGACATGTTCCGCCCCGTCAGGCCCGCGTTGGGATAGGACTGCTCCTATAGCGTGGCTGCTAGCATCCGTATCCAGGATAAAAGGTGGGGCTTTGGGGTCTAAATTCGGGAACACCAGAATGGGCGCCGCGGTTGATGCCTGTTTGAGCTGTATGAAGGCTCCTTCGCACTCTGCTGACCAGTCGAAGAACCTGCCTTTCTCCGTAAGTCGTTGTAGGGGAAATGCGACTCGGCTGTACGCGGGAATAAAGGCACGGTAATATCCGGTCAGGCCTAGAAACGACCGCACTTCATCTGCAGACGTGGGGTTGGGCCAGTCCTTAACTAGATTGATTTTATCGGGGTCTGCGGAGAGCCCAGATTCGGACACCACATGGCCAAGGAATTTGATCGATTGCTGCAGGAAGCAACACTTTTTGGGATTAATAGTCAGCCCTGCGCTTCGATATCGTTTGAGGACTTCGGCCAGATTGTCGAGCATCTCTTCCTCAGTTGCGCCGAACACTATAACGTCGTCCAGGTAGACAAGGCATTTTTGTTGAAGGAGGCCTTGCAAGACTTTCTGCATTACACATTGACACGTGGCTGCTGCGTTAGCTAAGCCCATGGGGAGTGTACGGAACTCATAGAGGCCCGACGGAAGAGCAAAGGCGGTCTTTTCCCGATCTTTGGGATCTACTTCTACTTGCCAATAGCTGCTGGAGAGGTCTAGGGTGGAGAAAAACTTTTGACCAGCCAGCGCGTGAAGGAGATCATCCATGCGTGGGAGGGGAAAGGAATCACGAACAGTCACTGCATTGAGTTTTCGATAGTCGATACAAAGGCAGAGGGAGCCATCTTTCTTCTTGACAAGGGTGACGGGCGCTGCCCAAGGGGAGGATGACGGGGTAATAATACCTTGTCGAAGAAGATCGTCTATGAGTGTGTCTAAGTCTTTTCGGTAGTGTACCGGTATGCGCCGAGGGGGTGATCTCTGTGGAGGAGCGTCTCTAGTGTTAATGGAGTGCTGGATGACATTTGTTCTGCCGATGTCCTGACCTGCCCATTTGAACACATCGGTAAACCGTGTCAAGAGTTCATGTAATTGTAGGCAACTATCCACGGGAATGTTAGAGGGAAGAATGTCGGTTATCGAAGTGGGTTCCGCTGGGGGACCGATGGCGTCGACATCGAGCACTGGAGCAGAAGGTTTCGTTTGTATCCGACCAACCTGACCCGTGGAGCAATCAATTACACACTTGTTGTTGCGGAGGAAATCATACCCGAGTATAAGATTCCACCGACAATCCGGGGAGATTAGAAAAAGATGTGGTGCCTTGATCGAACCGACCTTCACCCGGGCCATAAGAGAACCAGTGATGTCCAGAGTGGTTATTCGCCGCGAGGACCACAGGAGTGGAGGGGGTCAGGCATGGAAGATTTGTGACGGCGGGGAACTTAGGGTTGACTATGGATACTGCTGCCCCCGTGTCGATGAGGATGGTGGACTTATGTGACTCTATGTAACCTTGGACCGCCAGCGCGTGAGAATCAGTAAAAAGAACAGAACTGGAGGGGAAAGGTAGCTCACTTGCTGGGTTGTGTCCGCAGCGTATGGCCGCTTTGCCAAAGAGTCTGCAGTAACCACACTTGGAGGGGTCGGGGTCGTAAACGAGTGTGGGTCTTTGTGGGTGAAGGGGAAGTCGCGGGTTGCCAAAAGTTGTCGGAGTGGAGGGGGTTGGGCTTGGGTTGGGGTACAGTGGGGAAGCTGATGAGGAATGGCGAGGGTAATTGTGTGTGGTGTGTGGGGATTGGGTAGGATAGGGGTGGGTATGAGGGGAATTGTGGGATTGGGACGACTGGGTCCGCTCGACGATATCCCAAACTTCATCCAAGGACCCAGGGACTTTGCCGCCAAATTGTTGGCACAGGCTAGGGTCTCGAATCCCCGTTACAAGGCGGGGTAGTAGAGGTGCATTCGCTCCGTCCGGGGGATACGCCTGGCGAGCAAGGCGTGAGAGTTTAAAATATTCTTCGAACGATTCCCCGGGAGCTTGAGTTCGTTGAAAAACTGGAGTAGGATCTGACCGGGGTGGAGGCCTGAGCCGAAAAGAGGCTCCAAGGAATCCAGCATGACTCCAGGTTGGGAGTCGCCTCTGATTCTCTTAAGGAGCTCCTCACGGATGTCTGGGGCCAACGCTATGAGGACGAATCTACCTTCAACGATTGATGACGAGGTGTCGCCGACAGGGGTGGAACTCAGGTCGGGTTTGTGATTGCGTCGTTTGCCCATGGTGTTGAGGAATTTAGGAGAGTAGAGGTGACTGAGAGCGAGGGCTCAAAGCACTAGTAGTACGTGTGCCTACTAGTGGGTAGCGCAGTTATGGTGGGTGTTTTAGCGGGGATTGGCAAAGCGTGTAGTGGAGTGAAGGCAGTTTTCTTTGGAGGCGAGGAGGTTGTGAGGAACCTAGTGTGTTGATCTGCCTGCTGTTGTTAAAAATGCATTCCAGTGAAAGGTGTGGGCATTTGCTAGCTTCTCCCCGTGGATGTGGTCAAGGCTACCGGTCTCCTTGACTGGCAACTCATGAAGCATTCTGCCCTCGAGGAGTTCCTGTTCCCAATCCAGACAAACTTTTAAATGCTGCTGCATTCTATCAATCCATCTCTCGCTTTCCAAGGTCATTTTTGACAGGTGGACTTCAGTTATGTGTCAGATTTAGAAGACTCCTGTAGAGGTCGGTGGTGGGTGCGTTCTCCGCCTCCCTCGTTTGATGCTATGGAGAACATCTTCGATGGAGACTGGTGACAGACTGCCTTGGTCGTAGGTTTATTCTCGTGCGTGGTGGATGCTTGAGGAGCTCCAGGTCGTGAAACCTTTTTCGTTCCCAAGTTATGTACCCATCTGACCGCCCCGCACGATTTCCCTGGTACGCCTGAACTAGGGCACTCGAGACCGTGACTCTTGTGTTTATATCTCGAACAAGCGTACCTCGCCGAGGGCCTTGGTGCGGATGTTCGAGGTATAGCAGCTGGCACCAAATGCCTTCCCCATCCCCTGCCCTTATTACAGCCTGACATTTGCTTTATGTCTTGAGTCTTTCTAAAATGACGTTGTTAATAAATGGACGTGCGAAGTAGGTGTATTTGCAGCTGGCGTATTTAAGGGCATTGGTAAGAGCCGTGTAGATCAGAGACTAGGGCAAGTAACTGAGCCGGTAATGTTCAATGTTGAGGTGCTGGTCGCGAGGTTCGGAGGAGTGGAAGGGGTCAACACGGGGAGGTTTGCAATGGCGGGAAATTTGGGTTTGACTATAGACACTGCTGCCGCGGTGTCAATGATTCTAGTGGACATGTGAGACTGTGCATTGGGCCGCCGGAGTGTGAGATTTGGTGAAAGACGGAACATGAAGGGAAGGGTAACTCACTTGCTCGGTTGCGTCCGCAGCGTATGGCCGTCTTTCCGAAGAGTCTGCAGTTGCTACACTTTGAGGGGTCGGAGTCATAAAGAGTTGTGGCTTTTTGCGGGGGAATAAGGGGCATCGGGGTTTGGCAAATGCCTGAGAAGAGGGTGGTGGCAGGTGGGACAGCTAGGTAAATTGTGTGAGGGGTGTGGATAGTGTAAGGGTAGGTATGTGTGGGTGTGTAGGGTTGGAGCGCCTTGACACGCTCGACGATAGTCCAGACTTCGTCCAGGAACCGAGGGACGTGCGAAGTAGGTGTATTTGCAGCTGGCGTATTTACGGGCATTGGTAAGAGCCGTGTAGGTCAGAGAGCATGGCAAGTAATCTGAGAACTGCAGCACAACTTGGGCGCGTTGTGATTTCAGCAGTGAGTCGTGGTGGTGAACGTTGTGATCCCTTGCTACCTTGTGTTACCATCTCATTGTGTGGCTCAAAGAGTAACGAGCTAATAAAGCTGCCCTCAGCAACCCACGAGGCGATATTACCACGTAGGTTCCTGGGTCAGAAGTTGTATGTCGGCAGTCGGCGTCTTCCTCCGTCGCGCTAATGCCTCTTCCAATCAACACTGGCACTGATTCTGCCTGTGGTGAATGCAATTATTGAGGTTGATGCTAGAAATTTACCGTGTAGCGCAGTCAATGCGACGAGAATGTTTCGATTACAGTAGCAAGGGGTCAATTCAAATTTTTCGCCGATGCGCATTTCAAATGACTTGGGACCTTCGTTATTCAAGGACTGGAGAGTGCAGTCAACCACAATGTTGCTTGCAACGTACCAGCAAGCTAACGCTTGTAGGCGCTACATCTGCCACATTTTAAGAAACTAATTCCGCGTATACGAAATGTGTAGCTGCCTAGGACCTCATTCTAAGACGACTGGGTCGATCATCTGATGCCCTCTAGACATTGTAATTCATTGTTACTGGTATTAGTTTAGAAGAATACGAAACTTTGGAGTAATGGGCATTATTTTGACGTCGAAACCTGCCTCTGCCACGGAAAAGAAACTCTTAATGCCGGTAAATGTCAAATGTTATTTAACTAGATCTCACTTTGTTAAGGCATGCACAAAGAAGGTTAAAATTTGTTAAATGCATCACCCGCAGCACTAGCTGATATTTAAGCCAATTTGAACGGATACCATTATCACGACGTGTCTAAAATTCACTAAAACCGCATGGTAATTTACTTTGAACGAATCGGCGGCTAAGATTTAAATTCTGCATTTGTGGTAACTTCAACCGAAATCGATGGCGATCGAGGGATGCTGAATCAGCCATTCAGACTCTGCAGCATCGCTGTAGGCGATCTTCGCATTTTTTGAGCTAAATACAATAAATCGAGCCTCCAAGTAATTAGTTTGCCGTAATTTGCCAACTGAAATGTGCTGTTGAGCAAAATATTGCCGGAAAGCCAAAATGTTACCTACAATGAAGCAAACAAATGCGAAGGAAATATTGGCAATCTTTCTCACTTAGTAGAAATACGGATAGCCTTGTCAACATAGAATGAAAGCATAGTGTGATGGATCTCAATTACATAATTTCGGCGTCCCATTTTTCGTGCCATTTTCGAATAAGCCCTCAATTCTCAATGACGGTTTAAATGGAACACTACTGTTTACATTATTGATTGCTGTATCATATGCTTCTGGATGTTGTAGAACACCTGAACGCAGGTACGAAGAAGACTGGTAAAACAGCCAGGGCTTCATAGAACAACCACTAGCCAAGACCGTGCGTCAGGCATTGACCGAAACGATTTGGGGAGTATTGCATCAAATTACTTCGCGGGATGGCCTAAAAGCGAATGTAAAATGCAAGCAATGAAATCGAAGATATGTCAAAAGCCATTTCCAGAATATGGGTATTCATGAGTTAGAAATTGCCAGCATTGACAACGTTTACCTAAATCCGCATTGCAAAACCAGTTCTACATTTTTAATCTAAAAATATTTCGATTTTGAAACGAAAGTAAGGAGTAACATAGGACGATAAAAGGGACATCATGGACGTTTTACAATGTCACAAGCGTTCATTTACACAGAACTAGTAAAGACATAGACTTTGAACACTGTCTTTTCAACGTACAACTAAAATACAGGATATGAAATAAAAGTTGCAGCTATTCTCCTGAATGAGGTCTGTCGATTTAGCAAGACACAGCCAAGGTATTCATCAGATTTATCGGTGTGTGATGCCATCTATCATTTCTGTCATATAACGCAACTGCTATCAAAAAGAGCTATAACAGTAAGGTGGAATTAGGCAACCTAGACTGACTCTGGACAGAAGTCATTAAACATTTTTACAACTCCTCGGCAGCTCACCGGACAAACATGAAATATTTCTTCAGAACTAAAAGTAAACCGTAAAGATGCTGTTAAAAATTAAAAAATATTATTATGAGGAGCAACGAACTCTAAACCTTGTAGTTTAAATCACATTTAACTTTTGTTTGTTTGATTGCTTTACGGAACTACTCGATAAATGGCGTGCATGGATCGCGCGAGGGTAATTAGGGCTATTGAGGCACGCGCCATTCGACCCACGCACGCCGTTCTGGCCTGTTCTTTGTCAATCTTTCCCTTCCTGCACTGTTTGATTCCTCTTTAGGGCGACAGGCGGGGTTGTGAGTTATCGGCAGTCAATCAACGGGCGGTCGATTGTTGCGATTCAACCTCACCCGTCTGCAGTCCCCTCCAAAAAGCAAGCGGGATGTTGCGTGCTGACGCCTGCTGGAGGATCACAAGCAAACGCAGCCTAGTACTACATTGCGCGACGAGTGAGTGAGCTTTTGTCCGCAACCGTAAAGTCGAATGGGTTTTGACCAACTGTAGGATGGATGTATACCCAGTTTAATAGCAACCTCCTTGTCTGTTAGTGCACGCCAATCACGTCGTAGCACGCTTTTGTGTTTCACACTAAACAACCCACCTTTGGGTGCATGCATGGCAAACAGAATATGTGGTATTTACTAGTCTGCACTGCTTTTAAACATTCGTGGTGATTTCGTGATAGATTGTTGTGCTGGAGCAGTTGATACAAATACTATTAATGTGTAAACGTGCTCTTGTCCTTATACTTTCTTGTCATATCCCTTTATAACTTCTTGGAAGATCGTTACTGACCGTTATCAAGCCTACTATGAAATGCTAAGAGATAGAAAATTATGTTTGGTCGTTTGGGCGGTGGTGTTGTCACTCCCGCCACCTTCGACGTTATCGGATACAATTCATGCCTGTCCTACCCAACATTTAGAATGTGGGTCCCGAGTGCTGACGTTAAGTTTAATCTTGTTTCATGTCTTCGTACAATAGTATATTCAGTGTTTCCTCCTAGACCGTGACTCTCGTGCCGACTCTCAAGTAGCGCATTTGTTCCCTTAGGTTGGATCACCGCTTACACGTTGCAAATGATGGCACTTCGCTCTCTTATCAAGCCCAAGCGTGTTACAGAGTGTGGCAGCGGTTCTCGGAAGGACCCAAGAACATCTGTTTATTGCCCTATTGCTCGTGTTACCTGTCAGCCCTGTTCTCACCATGGGCCCAAAATGTGCAAATGGTGGCAACAAGAAGGTGGGCGACGCGTCCTCGGACTTTTTGGAAACCGACAATGCTTTTGGACAAGGCGCAACTTCATTCCGGTCGTTGCTGCAGCCCCCTAATTTGACCTCGACGATAACATTGAGAGATGGCTTTGTGTAATGGAAGATTTTCTGGGATGTGTTCCCCCTCAAATCAGGTTGTACCGACCACTGATCAATTGGTCTGAGAGAGCGAGGTACAGGGCAGACAGGAGTGGATGTACTAAGGAGACCCCGTATGAATAGTTGAAGGAGAGGTTGTTGAACTTATTTTTGAAGAACTTGGATAATTATCTGGACAAATCTGGAATCGTTGCTATTGTCCCGGAGAAGATGTCCTGGATTATGCGACAGAGATGTACAGTCTGTTGTTGGCACCACCATGAATAACAGAGGGCGTTTGAAGGACCACGCATTGTGTGGCTTGCGAGTATTTTAGATGCCCTGAGTGCGGTTGAGCCTGACCGCCGTTCAGCCTGCATCACGAGGCTCTTGTTCAAACCAGCCGCATTAGGAGCACGCAGAGCAGGCTTGACACCTGACATGCCCTATGAGCACCTCGTACAGACATTGAGGAATACCTTCGTTAACCCCTCCGAGAGAGCTCATCGGCTGCAAGATCTGTGGCGGCAGAAGTT